CCCCAAAACCCCAAAACCCCAAAACCCCAAAACCCCAAAACCCCAAAACCCCAACAAGTGATTTCAGTTTTGAAAATTAGTATTTTAGAAAAATTAGTTTTACTTTCTACAGATATTTGAGTATTAAAATTAGGTAAAATTGGAATTTATCAAGATTCTTCTTCCACAATGAAGTTATCAAACTGCTTGGAGTTCAAGGCAATGCCTTTAATTTCCACACCAGTCTTACTCCTTCGTCGCTTCATATTAGTCTTTATATTTTTACAGGTATTTACAGCTTCACTCATTTCACAGGAGCCTTCTCGAGGCCTGTTGGATTTCTTAACAGTGATGTCTTCAGCCTCATTCTGGGAATCCTCGAAGAGATCCTTTCTCATGGTTTTTCTGCGCTGACACTTTTTATGCTTTTTCTTTTTACATGACTTCTTTTGACCATCAGGACTAGCATCCTTCTCACCAGTCTTATTGGAAAAGTAGTTATCATTACTCTTTGTGCTTGTTCCATCTCCTTTACGACTAAGTTTCTCAAGTAAGGAATGAGCGAATTGAGTCAATGCGCTTTCCTCCACTTCTCTATTGATTGGAGTATTAGCTTCATCTTTAGACTCCTTGTCTTTATCTAAACGGTTAAGAAAGGAGAGCTACCATAGGGTTTGACCTTATCCACATTTTTCTCGCTTTGGATCCTATCTGCACCTTTAAGAGTTGTCCTTTTCCTCTTTTTCCTTTGTTCTTCCCGCTCTACATCGACTAGTCGTCTACGGTGCTTCGTTTTCTTCTTCTTTGGAGATGTGAACATTATGGCACTTGATTCTATCTTATTTGGGAGTATCGACACACTTGCGTTGAAGAGATTAGATTCTGCAAGGTTGAAATTATTTTGACAAACTTAAAGGAGGTAGAATGCTTGTATTTTCTTTATTTCTTAGTTTTTGAATCCTCCGGTTTCTCTTCTATTTTGGAGACTACCACTCATGGGGCTTTGCTAAGGAAAGGTATATCATTACAAGAATCAGGATGCAGAGCAATGCTCTTCTCCTTAAGCTTCGGCCCTTTCTCTTCTATATCAGAATCTTCATCTATTTCTGAATGGAAAGGGACCATTTGTGAATTTCTTGGAGGTGTTATGGAATTGTCATATCTCGATTTCCGAGGACCCATCCCTGAGATAACATTTTGAGTATTATGAGTTTTGCCTATGACTTGTTAGAGTACATTCTTACTCCCAACTTCTTGAGACTCCTTATTGCTAACTTCGTCAACATTAGGAATTAAGTTAAGATGAACCTCTTCCTTAGACTCTTCTTGTGGGGTCTCACTGATTTTAATTTGGTCACTGGCCTTGTTCCATAAGTGCTTTTGGGATATTAGTATTAGAGTTATTACTACTTGGGAGTTCAGAAGGAGAAGAGATTCAGCATAACAATTTTGTTATGAAAGACGCCTTCTTCTGCCTTGGCTGATTTTTAGTATTATCAGGGTTTTTCCTTCTCTGGATATCTGCTTTCACTTCTTCTTGCATGATGTTATAACCCTATTTCCAAGTAAATATTTATAAACTTGTTCAACTACTATATTTTAATTTGGGGTTTTGGGGTTTTGGGGTTTTGGGGTTTTGGGGTTTTGGGG